AGAGGCGTTACAGGCTGTTCATACAAAATACTGTATTACAGAAATCACTACATAATTACCTCAGAAATGTCAAACACATCTCCTTAATCCTACACCAGCAAATGCAGATTTTTAGGTCTGGATAATTATTCCTTGGAATGCACTGTAACAGTTACCCAAGACCAGACTAGAAGACAGATTCCAGCAATGAAGTGAAAGGAGAGTCACTTGATAAGCTAGTTTGCCAGCACAACAAAAGCATCTATCGTTTCACATGTTGATTCTGCAAAACTTACTATTTTTTCTGGAATGCTTAAGGGTAATGCATAGCCAAAGGAATCAATTACCAAGTTTTGGCTACAATGTTGTCCCCTCATGCTGCAATGATTACTGATACCCACGTGAGCAGCAGTATACAACAGCTGCAGAAAACTCAAAAAATACTACTGCAACTCCAAGATAATACTGTAACTTGTAAGTACTTCCGTGATGCAGACCAGATATGTCAAATTTGGAAGAAAGGTTGCTTGGTATGAGGGAAATGTCCTATACACTTCCTGTGAAACCCCCCTCAAACCCAAAGAAGTTATAAGAAAAGATGTTATATATTGGTAAACTCAGTCTGAATTGACCGCACAGATTGATTGTAGTCTAAGAAGTATTGCCTACTCCCAGAAGTATGAGGGGGATAAGAGCTGGTTATTCCCTCAAGATGGATTGGGCACATTCACCTGCTGGCTGCTGAACTTGTTCACTGCATGTGCAGGGGCAGTGAGAGCTGCCAAGAGGCAACAGGGACCCTGACTCCCTCACATCCCTACTTTCAGGCACTTTAAAACCAGGAAAGATCCTGGGGTACTTCAAGTTCCTGCATTTTAGAGCTGCTAAGTCTAAAAATTAGTATATAGCTCAAACACAAAAGCCTCCTCCTGAAATGGCATCCAGTTTTGACCCAATACAAAGTAAAAGGAATCTGTGTCGGCTTACATGCAAAAAACCCCAACAAAACAAAACAAACTCTCAAAAAAACCCAAAAACCAAAAACAACCCAAAACTCCAACCCTTTCCCCAAAATATCAGTTCTGACAAGAGAAAAACTTCACACAGCATTCTTGTCTTCATTGCTCCTCCCCCATACACACAATACTCTGTATTTACAGCAAGTTTGTATTAGCATTTATACAATATTCAAAACTCCTGGGGAAAAAAAACCTGTTGTATCAGGCTTAGTAAAAAAATGTGTTCATTAGAAATGCTACAAACAAAACACCTTCAGCAATATTTCTTTTTATAGGTTAGTTAACTAACAGCAACCCATTTAACAAATACTTTAGACTGCATAATGCCGCTTTCCTAATAAGAACAGCATCTTCAAAACTCAACCCTTCCTATAAAGTCAGGGAGACTGGAAAATTAATTTAATTTCCATTCTTTAGTCATCCACTCTATGCATCCAGAATCAGCTTCTCCATTACCCTTCCTGGACTAAAATCTCACTAACAGCCTGCAGTTCCAACCATCATCATAAGCATGTGTGAATTTTACTTGTTTTTTAATACTTACGCATAGAGCATTTGCCTAGTGATGTGGAATTTCTCTTGCACTTTAACATTCATAAAAATAAAAAGCTAGTCAGAGATCTCAGCCTAGTTTTCCAGGACTCCCATGATACAAAATGTATTTGCAGGCTATTTTTAACATATGCTAACTATTTAGAGACTGAAAATTATTTCACTATCCTTTAGTAAAATGAATATTTCACTCTACTTCACCTAGAAAACTTATTCTTTGCCAAACCTTTTCCATTTTCCATATTGTTATCAAAAGTTCATCCATCTCCAGCTAAGAATAAGCCAGTAACATTTAGATAATCTAAACCATCAAAACTCCAATTTTACTTAAGTCTTTTATCTGACTAGACTTATTTTCCCATGACCTTTATTTAATAATTTTCCTGCACTTCATAACTAGTTGCCATTCATTCTGTATTATTTGATTCTGTGTCGACAGTGACACAGGAAATACTTCTACTATCTTCCTCCTCAGAGTCCCCCTTGGGTTGTGTTGCTCCTTTTTTTTGTTGTTGTTTACACTTCCCTTTCCAGTTAGTCATACTTCCCTTTTGCTTTTGAAAATTACTCTTCCTGAACACTTAAATATGCAACTTCACTGTTTGGAATATATTTTGGTTTCATTAAATGTTAGAAAATTAAGATTATTCCTACACAACACAAACTTCTAGATTAATTCATCACTGTAAGCACCAACCAAATGACCTTGTACTGGATGTGGTACATTTTATGCTAGAAAATTATCATTTTCTGTTTTCTGGCTAATTACATTTCACATGTTCTTGTGTTTCATCTACAGTGTAACATACAATGGTGTATTTTCTTTATATGCTTCTTATAGCCAAGTGTTCAAGGAGCAATCCAACTCACATTCCATTTGCAACAGATCCCTATGAGTACTTGCCTTCTGGGTTTGTTAATTAGTAGGCTGATATGTACTCAAGAGCCTTGTATTAATTAACTTTAAGCCAGGTACCAGTACCTTCAGTGTTGCACACTGTTCTCCACCTCTTTTAGCCACTTTGTCTTTAAGTAGGCTGTAAGCACCCATTCTGTATTATTATTTTATGAATTGTCCCACAAGGTTTTGATAATAGCAATTATCCCTCATTTTCCCCCATTAATGAGAATTTCCCATTTATCATGCTTGTCACCACATCTTAAAACTGTTACAAAACCAACTGCAAATCTTATTTTCAATTCTGGTACAAGTTTAATGAGCTCTTACAACACCAGCTTTTAAATTTCTTTTATCTATCTGGAGGTTTTTCTTGAACTGTCAATTAAGCTTCACCCTGGCTGCAACAGGCTCCAGTAAGGAAGATTTCCTGCCCCATGTCCCTTCGTACCATCCCCCTTCCCATGGGATTCTGTCCCCTTGTCCTGCACAAAGAAATCTGCACACTTGCTCCAAACAAATCCAAAACATTCCCCTCCAGTATTTTCTTCTGTCAATCTTGCTTTTCATTACATCTTTTTCAGCTTTCTACTTTCCTTTTTTTAATAGCAGCACTTATGATGCCTGTCAACCTATCTACCATTTGGCTTCACAAGAAGTAGCAAATACCTTGTTGCTATGTCCCCTACAGATTTCTGCTTTATCCCTCCACAAATCACTCCCACTATTAGCAAGTTTATTGGAATATATATAAAAGATTTTATACTTCCTGTCATGGTGAATGTCTCCTCATTTATGGGTAATTTTTTTTGCTATAAACCACCAGTGCACTCTTCTGGATCCTCCCTGTATCTTCTGTGACATGAGTGGGAGCAATTTTCCTCTCTGACTGTTTAAAAAAGACACTGCATGTTTAACTTTTTCCATCAAAATTTAAAATAATTCATGGAAAAAAAAAGAAGAGGGTTTAATGGGTTGACAGCTGCATTTTTCCTTTTTTGCAGTTTTTCTTTTAGCAGATTTTAATGGCAGGAGGTCATGCAAACAGAGCAATGGGGCAGGCAAGGTCCTAAATGCAGCTTATACTGAGTGAAATATTCTATCATTGCTATGAATCATTTCTAAAAGTTTACAGTAATGAAAGAAAAAATCACAGTGGAGGCAACTCTGGCCGTTCATCTAAATTAAACAGACAATTCTGAAGTTCATGACTATACTTTTCTGCCTACGAAGGGAGCACATTGATACCCCCTTACCAACATACTGATGTCATATTTATGAAGATACATCAGTGATCTGAAGAGAAAAATCAGTGATAACTGAGGAAGTTGTCAAAAGAAAACCATTTATTGTTTGCCATATTGTTTCAGCTTTAAGCAAATGATTTTGCTGTAAGAGACTATCATAACACATCTGCAGAAGGCATCTGAATTGAGACAGCAAGATTTCCTAAGTCCTGGGTGATTCATGTAAGAATTATCTGAACCTCAAATAATTCTTGAACAGGATGAGAACCTTCAGACCACTGACATGTAAACTAATTAGAGCACTTCTACTTAGAAGCAACTTATTATCCCATTTAAGTATATAAGGCGTTTACTGGACTAAAGATTTGTACTAGTATTTGCTGACAGCATAGCTCCCCCATACTTTAAGAGGCACAAAGCAGTAAAAGTCTCAAAGCCTTTAGTGAAAAGCAAGTTATTCTACTCATGACACACCTCCACTCTTACAAATGGCTTATTAGTTTTGTCTGAAAACCAACAGTCGTAAACCTACAGTCTGAAACACAACCAGTGAAATTTCTGTCCAAATAGTTATCAACTCTGTAGCTGCAAGGAAATGAAAGCATAATGTTATCACCAAAAGACTGGTCACCATCCTGAATCAAAAGTGCTATTGGCCCAGTTTAGGGTTGTGATAATTTAACAGCAATTTCAGACATCAGTACAGAGATCACTGAAGTGCAGTGCAACTCCTGGGGAATTGTCTTCCAACCCACTGGAGGTCAAATACAAGGAGAACTTTTAAAGATTCACATCTCACACGTTTAGTATTTAGCAAAATCTGGCATATTTTGAGAAGGTCTGGGATTAAACATTCCTTATACATGCAGCTGAAACCAAAGCATAGGGACAGAGTGTTACTCTAGTGGTGCCAGGATCACTGCTCCTTTGCTTGAGTATCAAACTGAAACCCCAGATTATAAAAACAGTATTTGATTGCTATTTGCATATTGAGATGTTACCACCACTCATATACCAGCAGTAATGTTAGTCCAGGCATATATCATAGCAGGATTTTTGAAGATAATCTGTGATACACCTAAGAGTGAATTTACTATATCATGAAAAAGAAAATTAGTATGGCTCTTTTGAAGAAAGGGGTTTTTTCCTGTTAAGTTAAAAATATTTCTGTTAATCAATTTTTTTTTTAAAAAGCCTTTTTAATTTAATACAACTTGGGAAAATAGCAAGTTTGTGTGGTTTTAATTTTTTTTCAACTGTGAAAAGCCTGAGCATTAACTGATCTAGATTGGACTGGGTACTCACTCTGTCGCACAGCTCTTCAAACGTGAAGTCTGCAATGGTTCCACACGCTTTATTCAGCCTCAGCTCTCTGCCTTGCACTTTTAGAATCCTTGGTCTAGTTACTATGGGAACATGAACAAAGACTCAATCTTCTCTGGATAATTACTATAAAATTCATCTCTTACAGATAGGAAATGCATAGCTTCATGAATAATAGCACATGATTCAACACATAAATTAGACAAAATGCTGATACAATGACTGCCACTTGAGTGTGGCATCAACCCATATACAGCAATGGAACTTATTAATTGGTCAGTGGAGATTGGGCATTGTGTTCTAAATGTATTCTCTTTCAAGAGAAATTAACTTACGTACAATCATTTTGTTTCTGAGCCAGCTCATCAAACAACTTATCCATGACAGCCTCCACATCAGCTTCACTTGTGCTACAGTGAAAAGAATAATAGAATATGAAATTAATAACACTTGAAGCCAACATCAAACAGCTGCCTGAGCCTGCTTAGCTTTTTGCCCATAAAAAAAAGAGAACAGGATGTTATGCTCTAAATACAAACATTACATTTAGAATACACTTAAAAGTAGAGAATATTAACTCTCAGGTAGATGATTCTGCCTTATTTGCATACAGTGAAAGACTTCTGTGTTTTGAGCTGTTTCCAGTAATGAGGCAATACAGGCAGAGCAGACCCATTAACACTATGTGTACACAATGAGAAAAAAGGCTTCTGGCTCTATCTTGCATGCAAAATAAGAGCAAATAGACAAGGCAAGGCAAGGCAGTCAAGCACCTAAAGAAGTATCCTTTGAAATTTCTGAGAGGGGACTTTGTGAAATTAAATGCTGAAACAGATTTTTCTTTTTTTTTTTAATCTGGGGGGGGGGGGGGCGGAGAAGCTGCTGTGTCAAGTCAACCTACTATATTGACCAAACAATTTGCAAAATTAAACTGTGAAATTAAAAATACCACTATCATCTCTACATTAGCAGTTTTAGCAGTTTCCCAACCCCTGTTCCTAATACTGCTTGGGAAAAGATCACCCACAGATGAAATGCAAAATGGTGAAATGCAAAATATCTGTGCTGATAGCTGAAGTAAAGTTTATATTCATCTTCTGGGCCACAGGAATTAAAAAATCAGTCCAATCAGAGAACTTTTTTTTTAGTCACTGAATAGGGTAGAGAGCAAATCTTTCCATGTTTTATTCTTAAAGATAGATAGATAGATAGACAGACAGACAGACAGACAGGTAAGATTTCTAGCTGAGAATAGTAAATTAATGTTACAGTAGACAACAAACTAGAACTAGGATATATAATGTTTCACTGAAGTTTGTGTAAACTCTTTTGGTGTGAAATCTTACAGATCTTGATGCACTGAAGTCACACTGCTTCACACGACTACCAGCTTGTTAAACAAATACTCTCCTGCTCATTAAGGCCTTAAGCACCTTAAAAATTTTAACAGGAGAACTGAAGTAACTACTTTTGAGCTAAAGTTTAATGATGACAAACCTTGTAGATACAAAAAACTGGGGAAAAAAATTTAAAACCCACAAACTTATACAAGTGCCATTTTGAAGATGTTAAAAACCTTTTCTGACTAGGAGGTTGCATAAAATTCTAGAAGTTTCTTTCAACATTGATACTGGTGTGATGCATTCCTCTGACAAAATGATAAATGAAAAAGAACAGACAACACCAGAAAAAAAAGGCCATAAAAGGTGGTAAAGAATGTGTGTATATGTGTATAAATATACATATATCTATACATCTGTATCTTTCTCAGAGAGTATGTGCATGTGCATGCACATCAGTAACAGAAATTTCAACTGAAAGGCTACCAGAAGAGACAGGTGAGTATGATGCTATGGTGGATATTTGTACCTAATTGCCAAGACAGTTTGTTTTGAAAACAGACACCTGAGACTGAGATCGATGAAGTTGCTTTGATCAGGCATCTTGTAATGGTGTTACACTGCCTGCTCTCAGATTAGTATGAAACAGCTTTAAGTAACCCTCAGTTACATATTTTAAATGAAGACAGGACTGCACAACATATGAAGCATCAAGAGGATTCTTTAAAAAAAATGTGACAATGATACTATAGCCATTAATAGAAGAACATATACATGTTGAACAAGAACATTTTCTTTGGGGGACAAGACTGCTAATTAAATTTTAGAAATCTGTAGTAAAATACTGTACACAGTACCTTATTTTAAAACAAGCCAAACAAAAGGAATCCTCACATATTTAGCTAATTCTATAGGGTTGAAAGCTCCAATGAACCAGTTTGAATAGAACTGAATAGAAGAATCAATGTGATTCCTTCAGCAGAAGAAAGGACAAAGAAATAAGTACCTAATTCCATTGGCAGCTATGGGTTTTTTTTAATAATTCCCCCCCCACTGCTTCTTAATGATTTACACATCAGGTTCTGAAGGCAACCAACATCTTTCCAGTAAGAGAACGTAAGACAGAATTATTGCCAATCTCTGCCATTCACTTGATCAGAAGTTTTACAGAACACAATGAAATATTTTGGCTGGGTACTACTCCTGGAATTTGTATCTACTGCTTCTTCTCTGAGAGCTGATACCACAGGCATCATTTTTGGCCTATTACCTGCTAGAAACCACAACATCCTTTTCCTTTCTTCAGAATATGGACACTGAAAACAATGGGGCAAGTGCTCTCCACAAGTGTCCAACAGAGAGTTCCAGAGCGCAGCAGGCCCGGGGGCAGCACCGCCGGCAGGGACAGCAGCACTCAGAGCCAGGGCCGTGGTGAGCAACACTCGAGTGTCAGGGGTGGCTTCAAAAAGAGCTTCTGAGCAGGCGTGACAAAGCACTGAGCCAGTGCAGCCAGTCAAGACTACAGAACAAGAGCTACTTTCCTCAAGTTCATATAGCCACCGTTTAAGGATACAGAACTTGCAGTGGACCTGTTCTCCATATATGAAATTCTGTCACTTCCTTTCAAAAGCAGGAAGAGTTACCACTTGTAGTTCTACCAAGCAGTATTCCTCCTTCCAGACAAACACCTACAACATCTAACCTCATTAAAAAGTAGCATGGACATACTTCGTTTCAAACACGCATCACAGTGATGAAAATACCCCATCTGTCTTAATGGAAACATGATTTTTAAATCAGTATTTTAAAGATAGAACTGTTATAAATTTAATATTAAGCTATTGTAGTCTGCTTTGTTCAGGTTGTCATTGATTAAATAATATTACAAGAGAAAATACAAGACAGAAAAATGTTTGCATTGGAAAGGTTTCAAAGTATTAAAGGGGATGTTCCTATTAGGCAGATTTATGCTGGAAGCAGAAACACAACAGTGAATGTATTTTTAAAATATATTTATTTGCAAATATAAAGTGCTAAAGAAATTTTGTTATGATAAACAGAAACAATCTGTCAAAACAGAAGGTTGTTGGGTTTTTTAATCCACAGCACTGGAAACACCCAAAATTAAATAAATCCTTGTCACTGGATGTCTATAAATACTTAATTACTTAAATACAATAAGGATGTTCTTCTATTATAAGAGAATTGTGCAATCTCTTACAAGAGGATATTCATTACTTTCTAACCATCTGTCACTTCAGTTCTCCAAACACCACACCTCCCCAAAAAAATCTAATTAGCTTTTATTCAGTCACACATTAGAAATTATGCTAGTGTGGATACCAAAAATGTAGTTTAATGAAGTTAATATCAAGGCATAATGGAAAGCAGTTTGCTGAATAAAATGGACCAGAAGGCAAAGAAAGGAAAAGTCACACCCTACTGATTCTACTATACATTTTTCTTTTCCCATTGAATAGGAAATTATTGGCTAATAAGAAAGAAAAAAAAATGCTAATATAATATCATAGATAAACTTACAGGTAGTAAAGTTTTCCAGCAGCTGGAAGCACTCGTTTCCTGTAGTCTATTCCAGAGTCAAGCCGGACTGTGTTGCAGTATTTCTACAGAGACAAAAAAAATAAAAAAGCTTTCCTTGAGCCAAAGCTGTATTTACTACTGTCTGTGATACAGAGAAGACACACTGCTGTGATGAACCATCAGCATGAATAACATCTATAAAGCTGAAATTCAAGATCTAAAAGCTGAAGTCTCATTTGCAATTATCAAAGCAAAGAAATAAGCTGAAAATAACTCACATATGCAAAACAAAAAGGTCTATCACAAGTCCATCAATTAAAAAATTAATATAGATTAGAAGCACATGGAATAAAATGAGGGTGGATATTATTCATTTTCTCTAGGCACTCCTTTGTTGCAAAAATTATTTTCACATTATAATATATACCTTTTGAAATACAAAATGAGAAGCACTATAAGTTTAATGGAACACAAATTCTAGCAACAAGTGAAACTACTTCTATGTTACAAGCTAAAAATAATTTTATCTTTTTCTTCTACTAAGAAGAGTAAAGATTTTATAATATAAAGATCAAAAGATCAAATACATGAACTACACCAAGTTTTGCTGCAAAATGGATGAGAGGGGAATAAACAAAGCTCTATATCTAAAAGACTTTATTTCATTTTTGCAATGTCTGAATTAACTCAGAAAAGGATTTTTTTTTGCTCTCCTTTAAACAACCTGTAGGATTCTAAGTGTGATACAGATGTCCCTGAGTAGTTACAACAATTGCTTCTGTTAGAAAACTTAAACCCAGCTGTACTAAAGGATGGTTTTTTTATTCAAGGCCTGAGGCTGACAGCAAAATTTTCACTACTGATAGTAAGATCAAGATTTTAACCCCCCACTCCAAGATAGGGAATAGCTCTGCTTATCTGTTATGACTACTTCCAACACTCACAACTTCTGTGTGTTATATATAGCAAGAAGCAAAAGAAGCTATAGAAGAAAGAGAGGAAAAGTTTTAGCATTTTAGAAAATACAGCTCTATCAACAATTTAATTAAAGCAATAAAACTTTTTTTTTAAATGTAATTCAACACCTGTAAAATTCTTCCATTTGCTAAAATCCACTAAATCAGTGTGCTTCTTCACTACATTATGAACTATTGGTTTATCTTTAATACTCTTGTTCAATGTTTCATATTCCATGTTTGAATTTTTCAAGGTCTCCTTGAGGCCATTCAAATAATTCAAATAAAAAATTGGAAATGTCAAACCTCGGTCAACTACATTTACCACAGGAAAAACATTTAGATAAACTACCATCAGTGATTTGAGGAACAATGGCCCTTTTGAACAAATGCATTGCATAGGACACAGATCACAAATATCTGCAGGAATTACTGTGATGACTCATTGCACTATTTTTTTCCCCTTGGCTATCAGTGAAAACTATATACCTACTTTAAACCTCCAACTTCTCTGCAAAGAGATACAGCTGAAGAAAGAAGGTAAAAAAAATTCATCCTGAAAGCGCAGAATCCCAGGAAAATCCATGTATCTTTAATTCCACTAAGTGAAAAAACCATGCTAATCAAATCATTATCTTGGACTAAGGCTACTGCAAACACAATAGCATTGGTGCTACAATATTATTATAATCTATTCCCTTTCTTTTTGTGAGAACTCACATAGAAAGAGAGTAACAGAGCAGAAGAAAAAAGTTCCAGAGGCATGTAATAAATAATATGCACAAGGAAGGGAGGATGTTTAAGCTTTTCTTCAGCATCATCTGGCAGCCAAGGTCAGAAGGAAGATTACTGAAATTTCACAGCAAAGCTAGTTCATTTAGCTTTTCTTTGCCAGCATCTTTTCACCTAATGTTTTTTTTTTCCATAAGTAACTTAAGTAACTTATTTTTCCATAAGTAACTCAACTTAAGTACTATTTTCTTTAAGTTGGTAGGGGAAAAACACTGCAGATTACTACTACAGCTTTGAGAACTATGAAATTACTTAGATTAACTTTAGATACTTGGAAATTTAGTAATGCTGTTAATGATTATGGTTTGTTTTTTTCCTCAAAACAAAAGTTGGAATCTTTAATGAATTCAGCCTCATCTCTTTGGCCTTCAAGTCAGATTTATAAACTCTGCTGCTCCCTCAGGGTGTTCTGCACAGTGAAAAGTGAACACAGGCCCATATATACTTAGAGCATTCCATGACTATGGTAGGGCTGAAAGAACAAAAGCACACCTGAACACTTTAGCTGGTGTAAATTTGTTCCCTGGTATTTACAGTGGTGCTGGAGGCTCAGCTGCCAATGACAAGCAAGTGTCCTGTGCACTCAGATACAGACTTGTATTGCGCCATATTATGCAGGTCAGTGCAGCTTGATGAAATACAAATAGGTGCCCAGTGCTACATTGTTTTAGTCCACTTGTGTTCCACTTACAAACTTGTCACACCTTACATGCACCGACAGCTTTTATGACTCCATGACATTACACTGAATGAGTTTCGGAGGTAAGAACCTTGGAACTGAAGATGTAAATACCACTAATATAGCTAAAGAGAAGATGCCTTTTTCTTTTTCTTTTCCTTTTTTTTTTTTTTTTTTTTTTTTTTTTTTTTTTTTTTTTTTTTTTTTTTTTGAAGTAATAAGTATTATCACTCTTCAGGAAAAACTACTATCATTAGTGACTCTAGTTAAAAAGAACTTGTTTGTTCAAAAGTTATGTATGCTTTTGGACCCTTTTTAAAATACAAACATTGCCTAACAGAGATATTTCCTCCCCTATAAGCTTTTCTTGTTTCTGCAATGATGTACAATTTTTAATTCCAATATGATACCAACATGATGTAGTTTTTTTTCAAAAAAACCTGTTAGATGTAAGACCTTTCAGCCAAAAATGCAATAGAAGAATCCTCTTCAGAGATCTATAAAATACAGTTAATACAGTCCTAGTGATTTTTTTGCTTCCTTAGAAGGCGAAAGTCAACTGAACCAAATGTAAACAACGTGAAAAAACAGAATTCTGATGTACAGCAATTTTCTGTAATACACAGTGTAAGCACAAAAGCAGAGGACAGCTAACAGGAACTGAGAAATACTTAGTCCTTTTGAAAATATTTGGCATTTTACTCCTTGGAAGTTCCTGAATAATTGACATGTTTGGTCTCTCCAGACTGATGGTCAATTCAGGAAGGTACTCTGGCCACCTAGAGATCCCATTCTAAATACAAATAAAAGAGACATAGGAATTTCCTAACCCTTCTACAGGTTCAGGTGTCTATCCATACTCATTGCTAATTATTTTCACTGAGACACTTCAAAGCTCATCCATACTTATTGTGTTAAGCAACTGTATGAATATACATAAAATGAACAGCTCCTGACATTCAACACAAACATCACAATCTGAATCACAACATACTCTCAGAAACATGAGAGCTCCCTTTAAGACATGATTCCTGCAGTTAGATTATAAGCTTTGCAGGGCAGGGACAACTTTTCCTTATGAGAATATATGACAGAGTACAGATCCATAGGTGCTAATGGAAAATAACATAACAAAAAAAAAAAGCCCAAACCACCAAACAGAAGTTGGAAATGTTATTTACAGAAACTGAGCTCTGTACACTAGAGGAGAGAAAAGGTGGGACAGCAGCAGCAAACCAAAGGGCAGTAGTAGGAGGATGGCTTGCACTGACAATAACACCACCATCTCTTCTCCAAGTTAAGACTGTACCCTTGGAGGTAGCTCTAAAGGGAGATGCAGCACATAGTTTTAAATTTTCAAATTTAATTTTGGGCTAAACTCCTTTCGAAATAAAATACTTAATATTGAAGCTACAGTCAGTCTAGTGGAACCATCCACAGTTTCCAACAGATTTTCTATTGTATTGAGATATTTAAAGTATGACTTACCCTATTCAATTCAAATGCATAAAATTATTTAGCAATACAATTTACTTTGAAGTAATTTATGTATTTAGGTATACAAAGACCAAATACCATTACAGAATTGAAAATGCAATTAGTTAAGTTAAAAATGCAGTGTAAATATAGTCTCATTCCCACTGAGTGGCACAAAAAGATTTTATTCCAAAAGGAAAACAAAAAAAAGGTAAAGCCTCATGGCTCAACTCAAGACATAACACTTAAAACAACTACCTTTAGACAGAATAGATAAAATTAGACTGTCAATAGATCTACTGTAGAGAGTTATTAAATGCAGACTAAAAAATACTTTTTTTCCAGTAATCACCTCTGATATTCTTTTATTGCTGCAATCAAGAATGGTAGCTATTAAAATGGTTAACTGCTCAAGAAATTAAAGCACACAACAGGACAGATTATTATGAAGAAAGAAACTTCAGAAAATTTCAAAAGGTAATCCAGGTTAGCTGGATAACCTGCAAGTTCTCAAGACATATGTCACACGTGTCTCCCCTGTGTCACAAAAAGCCCTGAAATGCTATGGATGGCCTTGTGGTCCACAATGAACACTGCACTAAGTATCATGTGCTCTCTGAGCTCACATATTCTGATCAGCTTGTAGCACTTGATAATGCAGGTGACTAGATATTTCTTAACCTTGAAGATCACCCGAAGTCCACCTAGTTACCATTCTCTGCTCTGAATTTTAATTGTCTTAAAACAAAAAAAAACAACATATAAATTATACTATTAGACCATAAGAATAGACAAACAAATCACCCCGCAATTCTAATCAGCAGCCAAAGAATTAACTTGAGTGCTCAGATTAGCACTTAGCTGCCAAACCCACCCATCTGAGGACCTCCAGAGAAGGTGTAGGGGAACAGAGATACAAGAGTGCTTCAATTTAGAAGGATCATCATCTTAATTCCCACACATGCTGAGTTTCCACAGCCTTTCACGCCTGGCTCAAACCAGACACTTGGAAAATGCAGTGGCAGCCCTGCAGTAGCAAAAGCTCATTTTCCAAATGAGCAAGGAAGACTATAGTTCTACCCCCAAGCAGGCAAAGCTGCACAATTCATAGTCTTGGCCTCTGAACAAGCCCATTAGAACACCTACTATTAGTAACCATGCCTATCTAAGAAGTGCAACT